GAGTACAGCCTACGTGACCTCTCTCTTTGAGTCCGAGGAGTAGGGCATTTTACCACTGAAAGCCCACCTCCTCTTCAATTTGCCTCTAGAGGCACCTGCTGTATTCAAAGGATTTTTCACCTCTCTCCTGGCCCTGCCTTTCCTCCCTTCTCTTCTCCTGTGCTCCCTGAATCCCAGGAACCAAAGGAGAGTGAAATGTAGCTGCTTAATAAAATGGGGTGGGATGCTGCCCTTGCACAGCAGGGTAGAAATGTGTGCATCTAAGAGCTGCAGGTACAGGAAGGAAGAGAGGTTGGAGAGATCACCACATCCCTGCCAGCGTCCCTTAATCTTCCTCCCCATGTGCTAAAACCCCTTTGGCTCTTCCGTGTTCCTCTCCATAACTCCTCTGCCAATGCAACAAAATTGCATTTTCTCTGCATGGCTGAGAAGCTTTGAGCTGGCTCTGCTGCTGAGTACAGCAGTGTATCTTGACTAAACACGTTATAGCTCACAAAACATCATACGTTTTCACTCATCATTGCAGATACCCTGAATAAAGTCCCTAGATGCTTGGACTCTGCTGGCAGAGCAGGCATACAGTCCCCTTAAAACAATTGTGGGCCATGAAAGGGTCTGGAGACTTCTGTGAGCAGTTCTCTTGTATTTTTCAGACATGTCTTTTCCCTGATTCCAGCAAGATTTGGGAACAAGTCACCACTTTTGGTGTGGTCGGTAGTGAATGGAAGTCAAGAGACAACAGTTGCCGGTTTGTGGTGTGAGCTGATGAGCCTCATTTCAGCTCCTAGAGGGCAGCCATCCACATCATACAGATGGCTGTTGCAGTTGGCATTGCGTGAAGTTTCCATGGATTGCTCTTTGCTTTTAGCCACCTCAAATGCAAAAAAAAACCAAAAAAAAAAAACCAAAAAACACACCAAAAAAACCCAAAAACAAACAAACCCAAACAACAACAACAAAAAAACCAACATCCCTATTTGTGGCCAGAGTCCATGCTTTAAGCTTTCTGTTGGCTCTCCGTGAAAAGCAGATGGCACTTCAGGCTTTCACAATGCTAGTCCCTGAGTATCTCTAAAACTGAGCTGCCACACAGGTAGGCAGAGGTGACCTGAGTACCAGTCCCAGAGCATCTCAGCACTGCGTATTTCAGTGGAGGCTGCCTACCTGGAGCCAGTATGGAGAGTCTCTCCTTTGGCCAGATTAGATGCCTAGGCTGTGAGGTCTTCAGCATGTTTCCCTCAAAGCCAGGGAGAGTAAGGCAAGCCAGGCTGTGTCTGCTCATGCTGCTATTTTCCTTCAAGCTTGCACGCAGTGCCATCCCATACCCACAGTGTGGAAACACAGACACCTTCCTAAACCCGTCATCCAAGTGTTTCTGTCGTGTCTTTGGTGGTGCCATACAGCCTGCACTCATCAAAGCGTGTTGCTCTAGGCCATGTTCCCTTTGAACAGGGTGTAAGTGTTTTGCGTTGGCAGAGGGTGGTGTGGTACCTGTAGGGCTGGGCTCATGCTGCCCCATCCATTCCTGAACTGCATAGTGACAAAATTCGTTCAGTCAGGCTGGCCCTGACAGTCCTGCACCTACCAGGAGTATCAGGAAATGGCATTAAAGATGGCAGTGTGAATTTGTGATGTCTGCACTCTGATTGTTTACCTGAATTTTTCTGCAAGTGTTTAGAAGGTAGGAAAGTTAGAAAGCAGACCTGCTGTTTCATTATCTCCTTCCAGCAGGGGGAGATGGGTCCAGAAAGTTATTTATTCTGGGAACACATATAAAAATAACATTATTTTACTCATGAGGTGCTTTCCTAGGATTTGTGTGATTTCTGCTTGTTTGGCCTTCTATACCCAGGCAACCCCTTCCTTTTGCTTCTGTATGCTTCTAAAAGCAAATAAGACCTATGAGCTTTAGGTTTTATTTTTGTTTTATTTTTCCTAAGGTTTATGAGACCCTCAAGGGAATTTCTTCCTCGTCTCTCTGTTTATGATTATTATTATTATTAAATAGTTATGCTACGATAGCTCTAATGAGGATTGTATAAATGCGTAAGAAGACGACTTCCCCTGTACTTCCACCTCAGCAGAGAGCGGCCTCCGAGCCCGCTGTGATGCACCCTGCTTTATAGGGAGGCACGGCCACGTGCAGTCCCACCTCGAGTCAGGATGTTACCGGAGTCTGGGGACAGGATTCCTTCCTTTTCTCTCCCTGAAACCCCCTCTGTCGTTCTCTGTATAAAACATATTGGTGCCACTTTCCATGAACTATATTTAACTAAGCATTAAATTTAGATTTAACTGGATAGTTATTGCCTCCTAAGTAAATACTCTGAGATAAGGAAATATTTAGTGAGCTCTAGCAGTTGGGTGGCAGATGCTTCTTGCATTGCATAATAGTTAATCTTTGACAAATATGTTTTCCTTACTCCACTGGCATTTAATTAACATACAATAGCTCTTATCAAATGTAGATGAAACATATGTGGGAGACCCTTGTAAAAAGAATCCATGCAATGCTCTGACTTGCAAGAGGGGTGCGTTTCTATCATTGGTAACTTCATATGGGACCGGGTCTTTTAGCTGTACTCAAACTCTGTCACAAGAACGCAGAGGTTTCCTCTTGGTGATGCCCATCACCTGGGATGCCAGCAGCCTGATGGCATCTCGCTGTCCCTTCTGCTGTCCATCGCCCCAAAGCAGTGGCTGCTAGTCTGTTAGCAGCATGGTCTTCAGAGCAATACCCTTAGGTGAAATCTCTCTCTGCGGTGTCTTGGGAACATCCAGTGTGTGGATTAACCCCCTAGCTCCTTCTCGTTGCTCCCCTTCTCTGGTGCCATCTGCGTCAAGTCTCCTGCAGGGGAAGTGTCTGAATTGGTTCACTCCTTGGCTTGAACACAAAGCAGTCATCTCTTTTGCTGCTGCATGCGTGGCACTGGAGCAGTGGTGTCACGACCTTAGCCCTTAATTTGTGGGCCTTTAACACATGCAGGGATTGTTTAAGTACTCATAGACAGCACAGCCTTTCCATACTAAAGCTGCAGGGGCCAGTTTCTAGGGGTTCAGAAAGCCACTGCACGCATTCCTGGAAGAAGAAAATCAATCGAGGGCCATTAACTACAAAGACACTGCCACTGGCTGGGGACATGCCTTAGCCACAAATCACGGGAAATGAGAGAAGTGCTCTGGGGCAGTACCATTGCACGCTTGCCTTGTGCTCTGCCCTCGGCATTGGCTTTAGGCTGCGCTCAGAGACAGGACGCAGGGTTACAGGGATCTTTGATCTGATCCCATGTGGTCATTTGTATGACACAGAGCCATTCCTTATGTCTCTCTAGTTTGGGTCTATAAGGCTTCAGGAGCAGAGGTGAAGCAGGCAGCATACAAGACCTGTCTTTTTCACCTCTTGCACGTGAACACAGGAGCACTGTGACCATGCAGGACAGCAACTCACAGCAGAGTTCCCCTCGGCTTTTTTTTTTTTTTTTTTTCTTGCACCTGCTTCTCCGGACCCCCCTCAAACCAACTCTTCCTTCTTCACTTCCCCCTCCCAGCCCTGCTGTGCTTTGGCCACAGAAGAGTTATGCTAGCGAAACATACCTAGGAGCAGGCAGAGGGGCTGGGGGAATGGCAAGCAGGCATCAGCAGTAAAACACACGGCTTATTCCTTTCTGTTAATTGAATCTCCCTTCTCTTGCGAGGGTGCCGGTGATGGTAGGCGAGCTGTGGGAGCGTTCCCGGGTGGGCAGCGCTGCTGCCGGGCTGGGGGCTCAGCTGCGGGCGCCGGCAGCCGGGGAGGACAGGCCCAGTATTCAGGCTGCGGGCAGCTCAATACCAGCATTGTCTGCGGTCCATCCATCCCTCAAAGGCTGGGAAAGGAGATGGGGGGGCGGGAAGGGCTGAGTGGAGAGAGGTGGGAGGGAGGCGGAGGGAGGGATGTACAACTGTTTATCTGGGGAGAGGAAAGTGTGAGAGGGGGGAAAAGCAAGGTCTGAGGCTGCGGAGGCAGTTGCCAAGAATGCTGCTCTGTAAATCAGCTAGCTTGTGGCTTTGGGCCGCAAAGCCAAGTTGTTTGCACTTCTGGCCACAGCTTCTTTGCCCCCTCCCCGGTATTTTCTGTTGTGCATATTGGCCGTATCTTCCTCCATCCTCTCTGCTCCGCTCCCGGTGCCTCCTTCCCGCTCTGCCTCTCCCGGCTGCTCCTGCCTTTCTCTGTTTGCTTCCCGGTCTGCCTCTGCTTCCAGTTCCCCGCTCGCACTTCCCTTCTCCCTCTTGCTCCCCATCCTTCTTTCTCCAGCCCCCTCTCCCATCCCCTTCCCTCTCTGCCTCTCCCTCCTCTCCTTTCCAGCCCCCTCTCCCTCGGGGCATCCCCCTTCTGCCCTCCAGCCCTCTTCCCTTCCCATGCCCCGCTCTCCCGGCTGCGGTACTCCCCTTCCCTCCCCTTCCCAGCCGCCGTCCGGCTCCCGAAAGCCCGGCCCGGCTGGCCGCCGGGGGGGTC